CACGCACCGTCCCCAGCACACGCCGCGCAGCAAGGCCGCACTTAGGAAAGGGAGGTGCTGGGTCCTCAGACTTTTTTGCGTGCTTAGGAGGACTTGGGGGTCTCGAATCTGACCGGTGTCATAAAGACAAGTAGCTGCACCGGGCGCTCGGGTAACACATGACTGCTCCTGCTGAGCGCCTTCACCCCAGCTCCTGCTCTCGGAGCAGGGAATAACCGCTCGTGGGCGAGTCTCTGCGGGTACCTGCTCAGGCAAAGTGATTTTGCCGCATAGATTCGCGAGGAGCTGGACCCTGGAAAGGACAGAATTGACAAGCAACGCTACCCACCTCCCTTCACCGCTTAAAAAAAAAAAAAAAAAAAAAAGCCCTGGCAGAGAAGAGGAAGGTTGCTGTTCACTTCTACCTTGCAAGGACTAGCGATTGTAACGTACAGGCAGTTCCTATGCGCCACAGGTGCTGACACGAGTCTTAATTTGAGCAGCCTGAGGTACAAGGCAAAATACTTCGAAAGCATGTTGGAATTGCAGCCATTTAGGCTGCATGGTAAGAATCCATTTCCTCTAGTTGTGCTGTTCTACAGTTCCTGTACTCTTCTCTGGCAAATTTTCCGAGTACAGTATCTACAGCTTTTCAAGACCGAAGCAGTAATAGAGGGATTCCTCTTTCCTTGACAACTCAGGCACAAGAACTGCAGGACGCGCTGGCAGTAGAGAGAGGGAGCAATGGGACAAGGACCAGGGCTGGTATCTTGGGTTGAAACTTGACAACAGGGTGGTTGGACAACGGATTCACACGCCGGAACTGGAGTAGTTGCAACTCACTCGCAAAAGCTGTTGAGATTCCAGTTGCCGTTAACTGCGGTTAATTAATTCTAGGTAACCACACCGATGTGAGCAGCTAATACAGACCACTCGAGATGACAGTCACCGGTTTGTCCCGGAGCTGTTTTGGCTGTGTGAGTACCCGAGTCCATGGGAAGGGACATTATTACAGAATATTGCATCCACTCAGGGACCCATTCTAGGACAGTATTTTCTGTGACTGCAAGTATTCTGATCCGTTACCTCCTGTAGGTAAAACATTACCCCGAGCCAGTAAGGGGAAAATAAAGCACGTACATACGTTTGATGGAACTTCTGATGGTATGCTTCAAAAAGCAGGGAAGAAAGAGAAGGGAATTTATGTAGGTGACCGGCCACGTTCCTACCGAGTTATTTAAATGCTGGTGATGCCATGTGATGCTGGTGATTAACGATGTGTGAGGATGTCAGGAGTCTCAGCTAGACATCTTTTATTGTTACTTAAACTGAAAAAATAAAATAGGCTCACCAGGGAGATGAGAGATAAGAAGTAATGCTGATGAAAAAGTTTCTTAAAAAAAAAAATTCTGTGGGAACACAGACAAATTTAATTTCAGATCCTTGCATAGGACAGGACCACAGGATACCACAGTTCCAAGTAAAATCATAAATATGTTAAGTATACAAGTATTAAGAAGCTTACTGCTGATCACTGTGTGATGCATTTTTGCATTTCTAAAACTCTTACTGAAGCAAGCAGCTGGCATCTTGCAGTACTTTAGGGAATAAGTTGTCAAGTTTCTCAGCAAGATTTATATTATTTTTTTCTTTAAGTTGAAATTACTTTCTACTGCATGAGGGGGCAAAAGCCCAGACAATTTGAGCTGGTTGTGCAAATTCCAGCTGAGACTTTGACATCTGCTGTAGTTACGATGTCTCTGTACCAAACCGTATTATCTAGCTTAGTCAGCTTCTTGTCTCTTTCCAGTGGACTCCTGTGTGTTTGTTCCCTCAGGCCTTGTAGGGGTCTGTGTTTTTGTTGCATTTGGTGAGGAATACATTCTAGTTCTTGAAGACTAACCCGCATTCTTACCACTTCTTGAAGAAACTAGTTATGTTCTTGCAGCGATAATGGTCTACATCCTGAGATAAGGCCTGTGGGGAGAAACAGCTTTTATCAGACCACAGAATACATTAGCAGAGCAAACAATTCTTTTTTCATACCTTGGTGGGGAGAGGGGAAGGCAGCTGGAAGAGTGGAGGAATGCCTGCTCTTTTATATAGCCTTTGAACTAGCAAAAGATGGTGCGTGTTTACATACCTTGCTGTTCTTAAAAAAAATGAGTGTCAGAAGATGCCTTCCGGTATTATCCAGGTAGTTCCACAGTGATTCTTCTCTAATCATCCAAGGTCATATGCAACTCTCAATAGGAAATGTTCATCTCTTGTTCCCACATCAATGACAAATCAATGAATTAGCGCAGATTAAGTATTTTCCCTGGTACTAGCAATCTCACCAGATCTTTTAAAAATTGTCAACGATGTTCAAGTTAACCAACTTTACAGGACGCTACTACAAGCAAGGATCATTCACACAACTTCAAAAGGGCCTGAGCTAGGGGTTAGCAACTGTATCAACGATTTCATTGTTTTTCATCTTAATCCCTTATGTTAATGTTGTTCATGCCACAGCACTTTGTTATCAGTATCTTTTTAGGCTGGTGTGAAATAACTGCAGAGCACTTCCAGATGCAAAATAGCTGCAGGGTCAGGCCCCACGCCTTCAGTCTGGAAAGAGCTGATACCTTCATTGTGGAAAGCAAGTGCATGCACCACTGGAAATGGGTCAGCAAATGGCTTCTACGAAGAATAGGTGGAGCGCGCTACTGATTACTCTCTTATCACTGTCTAGTGTTCAGGGTTTGGGAAAATAGCGTTGAGTTATACAAAATTAAATTGCCTGAGGTATAAGCAAAGTCAACAAGAAAACAGATCTCGGGATAGGTGTTAGCATTTTCAAACCACTGAATTCTAGTACAAGGACATGAAGTTTTGTTGTTTTTTTTTTAAACTGAGGACAACTATTACACACTACCACCAAAGGCAAAACTCGCCCTCTGAATAACATATGATTAAGTCACAGGGTCAGATACACAAATTTGGAGTTACTCCCTACCTGTCTCTAAGCAGGCATCAACCTGTGCTTTTTCCTCCTGGACAGCTTGCAGGGCCAGAGTATTCAGATACTGCTGCACGTCTGTGACCTAATTCTTCAAATTTTGCACCCTGTGGCGAGTTCCATCTGTTTAGACCTGGAGAAATAGACCAATATGTTACTTTAATACCCCAGGGAGTAGATTATGCCTTCTGTATGTATTTTATTTTTACTTGGCATGCACTGCCTCATCAGCTTTATACGTTTAACAGTCATTACATTTTCATTAAAGTGCTACCAATGCAAAATACCAATGCAAGATGAAGAGAAATGAAATACTTCGGCATGACACACACATCCTTACAAGCTCCTGCACTCTTTGATGTTTGAAGTTTTATGCCATTTCATGTGTTAAAGAAATGAGTTCCAAGTTGCTGATCATTACCATTGCTTAGCTGTAATCCCTACTCTCTCTCAGTGGAACCATGTAGTCACACACACACAAAAAAAAAAAAAAAAAAGACAAAAAAAAAAAAAAAGACTTAAGTGCACATGCTTTGGGGAAGGTTTTCCCAGTAGGCTCCAATGTCTATACAGGATTTCCTCTTTTAAGTACTAAATGACTGTGTTAATTTATAAATGACTGTGTTAAAGGGATTGTACATGAAGGATGGCTCAGTCTCTGAATCATTTAGTGTAGACATTCTGGTTTTGGACAGAATTGTTGCAGTTAAGTTGTGTGTCCTCTGGGATCTTCCTAAGGACAAATGATTCAGCCACTACAGTCTGCTAGGTAATTGGTAAAAAAAGTTACATGTATGTGCTTTATTAATTTGGTGCCTAAACTAAGAAATTTTATGTTTTTCCCCAAATAAGACTAATCAGAAATATCTACTTTGCATAGAGACACATTCTGAAGATGCTATACATTATGCATGAAGGAGCAGATGCTTCACATAGATATACGAGATGGTGTTGCTCACAGGGAATGAGGAGTAATGGTCTCTTGCAGAGTAATGCTGCAGAAGAATTAGCTTGCTGATATTAAGCAATCTAATTTTAAAGCCCGGAAACGAGGTAGTCATGAGACACAGGCTCTAAGTTAAGCTAGAGACTCCACATACTTTAGAGAAAAAAAAAAACAAAATAAACTCTTTCAATTTCTCAATTCTCTTCATAATTAAGGAGTAATACCCTCCTCCTTGTCAGGGTTACAGGATTACATCAAAGTGGAAAAAAAAAAAGCCAAAACCCACACTGAAACCTTAAATGAAAAATTCTTCAGAGGTGCATAGCATAATTCTAGGAATTACACAGAATCACAGAATGGCAAGGGTTGGAAGGGACCTCGGGAGATCATCCAGTCCAACCCCCCTGCTAAAGCAGGTTCACCTAGAGCATGTTACACAGGACTTCATCCAGGCGGGCTTTGAATATCTCCAGAGAAGGAGACTCCACAACCCCCCCAGGCAGCCTGTTCCAGGGCTCTGTCACCCTCAGAGTAAAGAAGTTTGTCCTCATATTCAACTGAAACCCCTTACGTTTCAGTTTGTACCCATTGCCCCTTGTCCTGTCGCTGGGCACCACTGAGAAGAGTCTGGCTCCATCCTCGTGACATCCACCCTTAAGATATTTGTATGTGTTGATGAGGTCCCCTCTCAGTCTTCTCTTCTTCAGGCTGAACAAGCCCAGCTCTCTCAGCCTTTCCTCATATGGGAGATGCTCCAGTCCCTTTATCATCCTTGTTGCTCTCCTCTGAACTCTCTAGGAGTTCCTCATCTTTCTTGAACAAAGTGCCAAATTCTGGTTTTGCCAATCCAGCAGGTTTGATACACTAACTCCTAGAAGAAATGCTATTACCAATAATTTTCATGAACTTCCAAAATTACATCCGTGTAGTTTTTAAATAAAGCACCACATTGAAGCAGCATGAAATCTTGGATTGATGGTCACTGGTGTTTGGGATTATCTTTCTGCTGCTAGGGAAATTAAGGAAACCAGAACAGTTTCAATAGTTATCTTAAATGATTGCCCATACTGAAAAGCCTGAAATGCTTTTATGAAGCAATGGCCGCTGATTATATTCCTTTGCCTTTTCTGCTCTAATTTCAAGATTCCCCTCTTCATTATAGAGCTGGTAGAAGATAAAGGTAAGATGTCACGTTACAGAGTGGTTGTCGTATCTCTTAAGATGCCTCTCAAAACCATCTCATGAAGGTAGAGAAATACCAGAACCGTAAGTCCTGTACAGATCAAGATGAGGCAGACAGCTGTGATAGTCTTGAGAATAAAATATTTTATTCATTCATAAAACTATAGTTTACAGTAGTATTTACTAAATAAATTATATAATTTCTCTTTTACAAGAAATAAACTAAAATCAAAAATATTTCAAAGACAATATATACACACAACATAAGGCCTTGTTATAAATAATTTTTTTTCTCCTTTTCACCAACAGTGAAAGTATCTTTACAGGCTCATTTTCTTAACCCTTGTATGACATCAGTTCCAGTTTCCACTGATGAGGACTTAAATGATTACAGTGGAAGGGTCAAAACAAATGGAATTGATTTTATTCACCACTGTGCTTATTTTTAAACAGGTAAAGCAGATAATAAATTTTGCATGTGCATAGTTACAGAATGCATGCAAATGAAACCACAAGAGCGCTGATAAGAAAATACCACTTTCAAGTCCAAAAAAGGTGATTGGCACTATAGTAGAAAGCAGCCTGAATACACAGTTCTTCACAGTTCAGCAAGCAACAGCAGGTGACAGCAGAGTGTGGAATGTTTCTCGTCATTTTTGCCAAGTCCATCAATCCTTTCTATGGTTCAAAGATCCTGACGCTTCTTAGAATAAGTTCAGTTGATTATTACTGTTTGTCTATTAGGCTCAGCAAATTCCTCCTTCTTAAATCAGGAGTGCAGAAAGTGCTCTTCACTGACCACGGTTATTTCTCTTAGTTTTAACTCTTCATGTATTCTTTGTTACTGGAAATACAGAAGTGACAAGTAAAGTCAGGAGTTGTGTTTGATTGTTTTCTTACAGAATTACAAAACAGGTAATGTCTGTCTTCCCCTAAACAGGCTGCAGCACAGTTTGGCAGTGATTCTTTTCTTACCTTGCCCCCTAATAAAAAGCATTGGGTGTCTTTTCTTGTACAACAGCTAACGCCTATGGTTTTGCAGACATTGCAGTACACTTACATTACGTGAAACAGAACCGCTTGCTGCTTCAGAATGCTGGACGCTCTGGACACCAGAGAAGCCAAACTGAGAGCACGCAGCACTTCACAGTGGCTTTAATTACCCTGCAGAATTAACTGGGGCCTTTGTTACTTAAAAGCATTAGGGGAAAAACTGCAGTCTTCATAAGTCAGGTGTAAAAGTCCTGTTAGCATGATGTCCTTCCCCAGCTCAAAAATCATACCTATCCAGAAACTTTCAGGCACAACTAATGTTCTAGTCAATGTCATTCTATTTCACAAAAAAAAATACTTATTAATGTTAATGAATCAGAGTTTTCTACAGTACCCTCTACAGAAGCAGTGCTTACATAATAAATAGTTGATCACTTCTTAGCATCTCTGTGGAGTCAGAGATAATTGAAGAGAAACAGTTCTTTGCTGAACACCTTATTACTGTGACTCAAACTAAGGATAAACTGATAGCTGAACAAAATATTTCAGTAAATTGAATGCACCTCAGCTAATGCATCCAACATGGAGCAGGACACAAAACCGAAACAAAGACATCCGTAGTGACCTTACTCTGATACCTTATTAAAAAGTGTAACAAAGTTCCCATTTATTAAACAGATTTTAAGGTCACCTTTAAATTGAACTTTTCGATATGAGCATTTAACTAACCTTTAAATAGTTCAACAACAATCTAATCTTGACTATGAACGACGACAAAAAATCTCCAAAGGCATTTTTAAAGCTTATCTCAGAAAAAGGTAACCAGTAGATTTAAATCAATATTTTAGTTATGACTTCTAGCACTAGACCTTGAACCCTGAAGAATGATATTTCAGCGTTGTTCTGTGGCAACCTTTATACCTGTTACTGTATTGTGCACCAGTGCTAGGGTGTTCATAACCTGATGCTAGTGAGCTGTGCTAACTTGCACTGTGCTAATTTCTCTGAGGCTGTTCGCCCTCTGGATAGCTGTGGCCTGGCGATGAAAGTCTATCTATGTGCTAAGGGAGTAAAGTAGTATGTACTTACAGGATGCAGAACAATTTAATATGGAAAGTGAAACTGCTGGACAAGTGAATAAAGTTAAAGAAAGTGATATTTTAAAAAGAGTATGACATAAGACTAACAAGGATTTATTTTTGTATTTTTTTTTAAGAATCATTTTGGAAAATAAATTTGAGAAATGCTAGTACCGATAAAAAAAATAATGTTTTATGAAGCCAAGGTAAATTAGACAAAATATTCACTAGCACCATCTAGGTTCTGGCTGAAAACTCAGACCTGAATGACTGCAGGTCACTCAGCACAACTTCAGACCCCATGGCCTTACCACTACTTTTCACTCTCTAAGGCTGATGCTAGCTTTATGCTGTTCCACTAATTACATAATGCAGTTAGGACCAGCTTATTCTTGTTCCCTCTCCTCTGATCTTTCCAAAGCATTTCAGAGGCATCAGTGATGGAAAAAATATCAGCAAAACTTGCATAACAGATTTGGAGAAAACAGACCTGACAGAAACCCATAGCAACTGCTAACTATGTGAGTCAGTCACAGAAATGCTGTTCGTGGTACTGATGCCATTTCAAGGAGGCAGGATTTTTAGATGTTCATCTTTGTGTCAGGCACAGTCCAATTTTTTGGATTTTCCATGCTGGAAAAAAACCTCCATCTATTTCAAGGCACACGACATGATCCTCTAAGCAACTCTGTAACCACTGCACAACGCTTGGGGTTACTTTGATTGCATATCTATATATCTATATATCTATATATCTATATATCTCAAGATGCATATATATATATGCAAGATAAAAGAAACATTATGTTGTGATAGAGACTGAGTTTGGCCATAGCAGTTGGGTCCGAAATGATAAATATTGGGCAAACGACACTACACGATGCATTCCTGTAATCACTGTCTGAGATGTCTCATACTGGGTATATATTGGAT